ATATTGTGAGATTTAAATAATATAATTTATGTAAATAAATCTTCTAAAACAATGTCTGGCAGATAATAGATAACCAACAAATGTTCATTTCTGTTTTTGCTAATAAAGACATCGTTGTTGTGTGTATGTATGTATGTGTACATGCAATCTTACCCTTCTTACTACTAAAAAAAATACTTTAGTGATTATATATTTCGCCACTATATTATCCTTTAGGTTATTCCACTGTTCTTCAATCTAAATAATTTTAGCCTTTTTAACATAGTTGAAAATAACTGATTAGAAATGATAACATAAAAAAATGGGTCAAGATATGGATGGGATCAGCAGTTAGCGTAATGGCTATGTCGCTGGACTCCCATGTAGTCGACCGCGGTTTGCGTCCCGGACCTGGTGGCTTAAACTCACGCCGGGCGTGTGTGCATGTGTACCCAAGATCCCGAGAAGAGAATGGAGGAGAAGGGATTGCGGCGTGGCCATCCCCTCTGGGGGGTGATTTCTTGCTTTCTATCACTCTGTCTCTCTCTGTCTGTCTGGTGAGCACACGCGCCCTATAGCAAAAACCTCTCCAAAAACAAACAAACAAACAAACAAAAAAGGATATGGAAAAAAAATAAAATCACTACATCTCACAATGTATTTTAAATTTATAAAAGGACCCACTGGAATCTTATGGTAATTATGTGATGGAATAATTTTTGTTGTATCTAAAGAAAAAAAATAAAATTTCTCTTTGTTCTTTTGAAAATCCTCTAATAAGAATAAAAGTCAAGATGAACTATCAGTTCATATAAACAATTAAAACAGAAAAAAATAGGAAACTAAAAAACTGAATTTGGATCCAACGAATCCTGAAGGGATATTGAGAGCTAACAAAAGTAAAATAGATATTTTGTTGTATTTCTCCTCAAACTATGCCCCATTCTTATGTAAATTTCACAATATGAAAATAAATTAGGAACAGAAATATGCAAACTATTGTTCAAAAAACTTTTATATTCAAAAGTTGTACAACTATCTCCCAATAATGAGACAGTGTCTAGAGAAATATCAGTTATGTTGATTCTCAAACACTAAAGGGAAATTCTGATGTAATTCTTACAAACATTATAATCACCAGTAATTTTCCCATTAGATAGCAGTAGGTCCATGTTCAACTTCAGCAACATTAACTACTTTCTAAGGATTGGATTTTTCCCTAGTGAGAAAGGTTTAATTTCCTTTCTTTAGAAATCTCTGTACGTAGGGACCCTCACCATAAAGAGTGAAAAGCAGTTAACAGGAAATGTAGAGTCGGATCATGAAAAGGACCTTCACTCCTCTTCTAGGTGTATCCAAGTGATATTTAAAGTACAAAGACGGCTACAGATAGTAAATTTAAAATGTTATAAATGAGTAGAGGTGGTTATGTCTCATGACCCTGAACAATTTTTAAAATGTTTTTTAATTTAAAACTACATTTGGGAGGAATACAAACATTAACATAATTCAGTGGGTTTCCCCTTTTTAAATTTGCCAGAGGGTTTATGAGCTTCCCAGAGAAAGACAGACAGAAAGGGAAAGTGAAAAAGCACTCCCATGGGGCATGGTCAAACTACAATCCCTTCTACATTTTCTTCTTCTTTCAGGATTTCAGGCACACACACACACACACACACACACACACACACACACATATGCACCAAGTGCATCTTTCAAGTTCCTGAGTCTGGGACTCCAAAACATAGTTGGCCATGTGGGATCCAGCCACGTTAACCACTATGCCACTACCTAGCCTGGCTTCCTTTCTTCAAAGAACCTTTTAAAAGATTGTCTATTCCTGGGAGTTAGCAGGTGGTGTAATGGTTAAGGCACTGGACTCTCACATAGCTGACTGTAGTTTGAGTCTCAGACTTGGTGACTTGCTCTTTCACTTTTCCCCTCTCTCTCTGTCTGTCTCTCTTGTGAGTACACATGCCCTATGGCAAATTTAAATAAATAAATAAATAAATAAATAAATAAATAAGTCAGTCATCTACTCATGGGCTAATAAGTAGCATATGGTTAAGACATTGGATCCCACATGGCCAGCTGTATGGTTTGAGTCCCAGACCTGGCCGCTTAAGAAGCATGCCAGTCGCATGTGCATGTGCACTCAAAATCCTGACATGAGAATGGAGAAGAAATTGCAGCATGGCCATCCCCCTGGAGGGTGATTTCTCACTCTCTCTATCTCTCTGTCTCTTTCGGTAAGTACATGAACCCTATAGCAAAACCTACCAAAAAAAAAAAAAAAAAGAAAGATTGTCTTCTCATGACCTCTAAAAAGCTGGGCAACTAAATCACGTGGACAGAACTTACAAATTTGTTTTATTATGACTGAGTCTACATTTATAATGACCCTGCATATTTCAGCACTGAATATAAGTGTGGCAATTTCTGCACAGTAACGGTGGCTATGGGCTCAATATTAGTAGTAATTATTTATAGGTTGGGAGAAGAAATTACTAAGTGAGGAAATCCTTAAAGTTGCTGAGATAAAATAAATGAGTCTCGTCTTTTACAAAATATCTGAATAATGGCACAAATCCACTTAAATAGAATCTCTCAAAATTACTTCTGAATACAGCAAGAAGGTAAATATTGTACCACAATCCGCACTTTACACCAAGGAGATACAAAGATTAAAATGACTGTTGAGATTAGTAAATAGTGAATATGAAGTGAGTGAGCCTGTTACAGTGAAATTCAAAATCTGGAAGTCTATCAGTGCCCCTCCATTTTTGGTTGTTTCAGAAACAAAATAAATGTCATTGGCACACGGCCTTCAAAAATCAGGCTGAATTACAAAAAATTTTCTATGTAAAAATAATCAGATTTTCAGCAAAAAAGTGAGTTTTTGCTTTAAATTCAATCAGAAATAATTTCTCTCCAGAGTTTCTGGGTAGGCAAGAATGCCAATGGACCCAGACACAAATAGCCTGGCATACACAACAATAATAAAGACATAGATCCATAATTTATTGGGAAAGCAAGAAAACAGGCAACAGTGGAAAATAGATGTAATATAAACTGAAAATGTAAATAACTATTATTTTTAAATTTAAAGCACTGATGTTTTTAAAAATTAAGTGTTTCAAAACTTACTGTGTTTAGATAACAGAATTAGATCTAGTCTGTGCAAGGCATAAAACTACATTTGTGACAATAGAGTGAGTTCAACCTTTATTGCTTAATAAACAGAGACATTATATTTTCACACAAGGAATAAAATCACATTTGTGGCAATAAATGTCTCTTCTCCGTGTCTCAGAGTAAACCAGAGTGGTGCACTTGTCGTACTTTTTCTGCTATTTTCAAACCTACTAATTTCCTTTAAAACCTAAACTTAGGTGGCTGGGTTACATTTAAACTTTTTCTCAAATAATTTTCACATTTAAGTTTTTTGAAAATGTACATTAAACTTTTTCAAATGAGAAAAATAATCACTGGTACTTTACAATTCAGACAGCACCAAAGCCCAGATCCTCCCATAGAGTAATCAGTTTTAGAATTTAAGGTAATAAAAGAGAAAAGGGGTCTTGCAAGATAGAACATTATTATGATCACTAAACAGAAGAAGATTTAAAACATACTTAAATTTATTGAAAATTATCATTTTTATGTGGCAATCATATTCTTTTTAGAGTGAAAAAAGTATCATACCTACTATAATATCTCAGCTAACTCACTTAAAAAACTATATATGGCATACTATTTATGATTCAAAAAAATGTTTCTTAAAGTTAACTTGAAATATTCACTTAATTTGAAAGAAGCTGAAGCTTTCCCTTAACCCTATCTTAAATTGGTCTAAAAATAAAACATCTGAAAATAATCTGCTCTGAAATAATACAGTATATACAAGTGAAAATTCCATGTCAGGAATATATTTTAAAACTGGGGCTTCCAAGTTCGAAATATATGCTTTTCGGATATACACAAGGACCTATGGTGAAGGTCTAAGAGTAAAGAAGAAAATGGAAGTGCTAATTCCAACTCTGTATTTAAACAATATATGTTTAATCTAGAGGAGAAAATACACACTATTAGTTCATACAAATATGATTTTCTTGGACCAGCAGCTGGCGTAATGGCTATGTTGCTGGACTCCCATGTAATCGACCGCAGTTCGAGTCCTGGACCCAGTGCTTAAACTCACGCCGGGCACGTATACATGTGTGCCCAAGATCCCGAGAGGGGATGACCATCCCTCCTGGGGGGGAGAGTGATTTCTTGCTTTCTGTCTGTCTGTCTCTCTGTCTTTCTGGGGAACGCACACTCCCTATAGCAAAAACTTCTCCAAAAAAAAAAAAAAAAAAGATTTTCTAGTGGAAAAAGATATATGCAAGAATCCCTAATCGAAAATGCAAGGGATCGTAAGTATTTCAGATTTTAAATGGTTCTGGATTTTAGAATATTTGCATATATATCGTGAGATATTTTGAGGCTGAGAGCCAAGTCTAAAGATGAAATTCACTTATGTTTCATACACAAATATTATACAATATTAAATATTTTAAAACATTATATGGTGCAGCACTTTCATTGAGAATTATCACATTAGCTCAGATGTGGAATTTTCTATTTGTAGCATCAGGTTAGCACTCAAAAAGTTTCAAGGTATGGAGCATTTGGAACTTTGGATTCTCAGATTAGGGATGCTCAACCTGTACTTCCCTACAAAGAGAAAAAGACAGATATTTATTTTATTTTTTAAGGAATTATTTTTATTATTATTATTATTATTATTATTATTATTATTAAATTTGGAGAAAGACAGAAAGAGAAATGGAAGGTGAGAGAGCAAGCCACCAGGTCTGGGATCTAACTGCAGTCAGCCACGTGGGAGTCCAGCACCTTAACCACCACGCCAACTGCTGGCCCCAGAGACAGCTTTTTAAATGTGAAAACATATTTTAGAAAACATATCTGAACTAATCCTTATTTAGGGGGTGGTAAAGAATAAAACATTCCAATACCCTGTTTGGACAGGCAGCACATTTCCAGTCTTTGCTCATGAGAATATCCATAGAGCAGGTAGGCTTCTTGTAGTGCACTTCTGTACCACTTCTTTTTGTTCTTACATTCTCCTGGCTACATAAGCACAGGAACAAAAAAGAGAGAGAGAGAGAGAGAGAGACATTTTACAATACATAATTTTGTTTTAAAATTCATTTAATTATCGAGCTGAAAAGAAATTTAATTTCTAACACTGTAGACTATATGAGTAGACTACAAAACACCCATATAAAAGTGAATTAAAATATAAGCTTATTTTTCATGCAAATATTTTAAAAATCAATGCTTAGTTTTTTCATAACACACATTTTCCAAGAACTTTCTGAAGACTTCTCATGTTATTTAGGCTTTGGTATCTGATCATTATTTCATTATTATTTTAGAATTTAACAAAGTTTTGGGAATTTTGTAAGTTAATAAAAAAAAGAGTCAGATGTTTGATTCACTGAAATAACATTATGATTCATCTCACACTTAGAAACCTACATAATGTTAAAACCTGCAAAATAACAAAGTAGGCAATATATTTTATCAGAATAATATTTATTCATAAAACAACTTTCATTTTTGTTTGATTGTTTGTTTTAATTTTCCATAGGGCATGTGCATTTGCCAGATACAAAGAGGGAGAGAGGGAGAAAGCATATGCCCAATGGGGCATGGTTGTGTTGCAATCACTTCTCCATTTCTTAAACTTGTTAGGATTTGGGGCATGCACACATATTCACCAGGGACGGTTCCTAAACCACTAGGTCTGGGACTGGAACTGTGCAGTCACCCTATGGAATCTGGCTCCCTTAATCACTAGGCCATGGGGCTGGCCCTAAAGCAATGATCTTAATATAAGAAAATTCCATTTGCATATAGTTTGAACGTTATGGCAGATATTACCATATGCATACAAATTTGTTTAACTTTTTATACTCCAGTTTATCTGTAAAATGTGAATAATAATATACACATCATAAAGTTTCATGAGTACTAAATTAATAATAGATGATTGTTTTCTAGCAAGTAGTAAGGACTCATTAAGAGTTATTCTACCCAAGATACAGAACATTTACTAAATGTTTATCCAGGTTTTTTAAAGAAAAAAATAATCAAAGATTCTCTAAATCTTAAAAATACCTATAGGTCCTGCCATGACAGCTTGTGCTGCTAATACAGTGCTCCACCCAGGCTTGGAGACCTGAGTTTGATTCCTGGTCCAACCTGAAAGCCAGTCACAACGGTCTATGCCTGTGATTCCAGCAACAGAAGGACCATGAGCTCGGCCACATAGTGAGGTCCTGTCTGAAAGAATCAGGCATGGTGATACATGACCTGATCCTAGCATCTTGGGAGGCTAAGGCAAAAAGACCATGACACAGAGGAACTTATCT